GAATCTATTCAAGTAATAATTAAAATCTAAATTGCAGTAATACTTGTCAATAATCTATATTTAACTTTTGATAATATCAACCTACTTAGATTACTCTTATATTTATGTTGATAGTAATATTAATAAGAAATTATAGTAAAATTAATATACTGTATATAAAAAAATTTTAATATATATAAATTTATAAAAATTTGTCTTGTGACTTAGATTGATATTAACAAGAACCATGTGTAGTTATTTGCATTATCTGTTATTGATATTTATTTAAAATAATATAAGAATACTGTATTTTCATGGAATAACACTCATCTGTGTATTATTTTAAGTATATATGTGTTACTTTGAGTATGCACATGGGCATTATTTGGAGGCAAATATAAAATTTTAAGCATCTTTTTGCATAAAAAGTAAGCAAACAAAAAATGTTTTAAAGCTAGGTTGATACTAAGTAAACCTAGTTCTGGAGCATTTTTTGTAAATAAGCATTCCTTACTATAAGATGTGCGTTATTTCGGGACGCACATGAGTGTTATTTTGAAGCTATAAATGTTAATTTTAGGGGACGCAATTTTCGAAATAATACTCATAAACAAAAAAATACAGTAGCTAAAATTACGTCATAATACTTGTGGAATATGTATTACTTCACCGACGCTCATTTCATAGACATAACATTTCACCGACAAAAATTCACCAACAATTATTTCACCGACAAGTATATTTCATTTCACCAACAGTTTATATCACCGAAGCTCATTTCAAATACAAGCTTTTTTTTATAAATCCCGCCAACCTTAACTCTAATTCTAACCTGACCTTAACGACAATTACCAGAATTATTTTGTCAGTGAAATGAGCTTTGGTGAAATAAACTGTCAGTAAATAAACTTGTTGGTAAAATATACTTGTTGGTGAAATAATTGTCAGTGAATAGTTGTCAGTAAAATGTTATTTCTACAAAAGAAGCATCGGTGAAGCAAGCTGAACCGATACTTTGTGAACTATTATGAAATCGCAATTTAGGCAGGTGCTTGAGAACACTAACTCTGCATATTATTTAACTTGAAATGACTATCAATTTAAATTTGAAAGTTATTAATCTGAGTTGTTAGCTTCCCTAGAGTCAGATTGCAAGTTTCTACAATACAGCATATAAAACATTAGAAATTATTATAGAACAATATTTATATACAGTTAGCCCTGATTATAGTTATACTCTTGGACCAAAAAAAAAAAAAAGAGATGATTATAATAAGGTTGTGTTTATAGAAAGGTCAAATTAAGGATAGGGTGTCCGTAGATCATTTTTCATGATTTATGGGTGTTTTCCATCTTTTTTCTTCAAAAATTTACTATTGATAAAGGCTGTTCAAGCATTACTTATAATTTTTTACATATCAAATATAATAAACAATGAATTTCTAACCGATATGAAAAAAATAGTCACTTTATTTTTAACGCTTGAAGCTTCAAAACAAATAATGAATACCTTGATATGAACATAATAAATACAACCCATCTTTTAACATTTAATCAAACCGTAATGAATATTGCTATTCCATTTTACGGCCAATAAAATTTAAATATTAATATTCGCAAAAAAAAAAAAATTCTTGTTGCTATAAAGCAATTTTCGCTAATGATTCTATAAATTGGTTCTGCAAAAAAAGATTTAATTGATTAAAAGGATAAGCTGGTGCAACCCCAGTTGAAGCTTCGGCAGCCGGTTGAATAGAAATTTTTTTGGGTCTTTGCTCGAAAATTACCTTATGATATTTTCCGATCGGGCTAATTCGGTTTGTAGTTATATGTTAATCACATTTGATTTTAACATGATTCACATATATAAATACAAACCGATATTTTGATCTGTTTTATCCGAATTAGCCCGATCGGAAAATGTCGTAAGGTGATTTCAAGGCAAAGACCCCATATGCTTTATTTAATTGATTAAGATGTTTGAGAACACCCTACGTCAGTGTTGGGAAATTGGACAAAAAACTGCACCACACTTAGTTTTGGACATATGGGACCGTTGCAGTAGAAAGGGCCGAAACTCGGAAATAATTTTGTTTGTTTTGTTCGGCCTGATCCGGGTCAATCAAAAATTCAGAGATTTGATTGGTTAGCTATATCGAATAATCTCATGATGTACGAATCTTCTAAAAAGTTTTTTATATATATTTCAATTTTTTATTAAGCAAATCAGTTTCCCTTCATAATTAAAAAATGTAGCCCGTCTCGAAATTTATTCGAATTTTACAAAACTCAATTTTGATTTCCGCCCTACATGGTACGTTAAAATTTTACATAGACAGCAAAATTTCGTCTCTGATAAAACTTTTTAGAATCGTGATTATTTTTCACCAAAATTTTGTAGTATATAATTTGGGGTCTCTCATGTATAGCAGTAAAATTATTAATACTGTATCTTTAAAAGAATCCACAGAAAACTAGATAAACCAAAATTTTCTTAAATTACACAAAAACTATTGATTCTGATTGGTTGATTTGTTGTTTTTACAATTCTGATTGGTCAATCACATGATTTCAGATGAATAACAATCTTTAATAAGTTGGGACCTAATAATAATATAGCTAGTGTGACTATAACAAGTTTTGTAAAGATAAATCGTAAGCAAACTTCAAAATTTATATTCAAGCTTTAATTCCATCTTGATATCCAAGTATACTTCTATTAAATCATATAATCATATTGCTAATATTTTTCTCTTTCTAGAAAATCAAAGAATTATTGTAAATTTTGGCATATTTGCCCAATGCCCAAATTGTAAAAATAAATTTATAATTTGGATAACTAATTGCACAATTTTTGTTAAATACTCCTTCTATAGCTTCTTGCTTCCATTCACCTGTTGGCAATTGTCGCGATGCGATAAGCTATAAACAAGGCGATTTTGATAAAGATATAAGTACTAATTTAATTATATAATAGAAATAAGAACATAACTTTTGTAACATCGATATATACCTGAATACCACGTCGAATTGGTTCCTCATTTGGATATTTACCTGCCATTAAAGCAAGCAATGCCCAAGCAGTATTTACAACTTGTGAGTTTTCATGGTGTATATAAGCCATTTCTTCGCATGACTATTTATAAAACAAATAAATTAATAATTTTGAATATAATAAATATAATAAAAACTTTAAATACAATGATATAAACCTTATAGGATTCACCCCAACCACCATCATCCTTTTGTTTAGAAATCAAGAAGTCGCATCCTTTTTTAACTACCTCACTAATTGATAAAATTATTTAGTCAATTGATTTATTTTCCATGATGCAAGATTAAATAATGTGTTTAAGAAATACATATAATACCTATTTTCATATGTTTCACCAAAACTTTCAAGACATTGAATAACAAACATGGCAGCATATGTATAACAAATAGCCCAAGAACCATACCAGCCTCCATTCTCATCTTGAGAATTATATAAGTATGCAATTGCTTTTTTGGTAATTTGCCTAGCATCAAAAAAGAAATTTAATATATAAAATAATTATAAGCTTAATAAGATTTATAAAAAATTATTACTTAATTTCATCAGCTCTATAATCAGGATACCATTTCTGGAAAGTATTTAGAGCTGTTAAAACACAAGATGTACATTCTGGATAACTATATTCAACCATAATATTTCCAAAAACTTCTGCAGGATTTAACCATTCAAGAATTTTTAAACCTCTAGTACGCTCATAACTCGCAAATCCTCCATCAGTATTTTGCATAGATAATAGTATATCAATGGTCTGACAAAATCGTTCTTTAGATAATAAATCTGGCGTGTAACTATCAAAAATTAAAAATAAACATGCTTTTTCAATGGTTGGTTTCAAACATCAAATTTTGACCCAAAAAACATACCTGAAATTTTTTTGAAGACCAAGTACAGCTTTAATACCTAAACTAGCACAATCTGAAACATTATATCCCTGTTCACGAGTACTAAAACCCCAAGCGCCTAATGTGTTATCACGATAACATCTTTGATTATCTTTGGGATTCTTTCTTATTTGTGCATCGTCTAAAAATTCGAGTGCATGTATCATTGATTGGTGATTTGAAGGATCATCTGCCAGTCCTATTAAAGAGAACAAGTTTAAATAATTGAAATTCCGAATTTGATAAAAACGCAATTATTACCTGCTTCAATTACGGCAAGGACTGCAAGCGCAGTGTCCCAAACTTGAGTACCATTTGTACCACTCATCATCATTCCTTCTGAACCTAGCCTAAACCAAATAGTAAACTTTAATATCAACTTAAATAAATTTAAAAATAACTTAAAGAAACTATGATTTTCATACCACATATAATCAATTAATCTTTCTTTGGCAAGCTTGAATGCTTCAGAATCTGGCCCTTCCTCATAGTATGTACAAAGAATATGTATTACTTTGTTAACCTAACAATTTAAACAAATTCTCAATATTGGAGATTGTGAATAAAATAAAATAAAAAATAACAATGTAAAAGCCTATGTTTACAGGTGCAATATCAAGAAAACCAGTATTTTCATCTTCACGTTTAATTAATTCGTAACTCTCATGAATAGAAATATCTCGAATTCCAAGAAAAGTAGGAAGTTTTTCATAAAGATTTAATATAACTAAAATAACAATGCATTAGATCCTCAATAACAATTACTAAAGAATGAATAAATTA